GGGGCAGGGCATCAGCAAAGGGCACTGACATTGAGCTATGGCTTCAACAGTTGATCGAAACAGTTTAATGCATTTCCATTTCCAGTTGCATGGATCCAGCAATGCTTCTTACTTATTTACAGTATCACCCCTTCCCCTCCTCCCTGCTCTTCTGTTTGCTACATAGATAACAGGGGAAATTGATGCTGACTATTGCCTGCCTGATGTACAGCACTGCCAATGGGTTCAGCAGGATTTTAAAGAGGAATGAGTCAACAGTATGTGACCAGGAATAACATTTACCAGTGTGTGAGCTTGAATAGGAAAACATATTTGTGCTCACCTGAACATTAGTTAAAGTGACAATGGCAACAGATGCCCCAGCAGGACGTGTTCTGGCAGTCTTCCAGGTCAGGGCAGAGCCAGACTTCCTAGTCACCAGCCCTTGGCAGTGCCTATGTCTAAGACTATAAATGGCTCCTGAAATCCTGTTAGCCATGATAACCATCCCTCCAAAGGGAATGTCAGTCTTCTTTCCTGATTACACTAATATTCACTATGCTTTGAAGACAAAGCATAGTAACCCACCTTCTTCTTAACGAGGCAAAACTTTACCTACGGGCTATAAAGATAACCCTTTGGAGAGCAATCCCATATGATTGTGGGCTCTTACTTTAGATCCAGCAGGGGCAAAATTCACAGGCCATGTTATTCCAGGGAAGGAGGTATTCAGGTTAATTCCTTTTCTAGTCATTCCTCCTGCCAGTATCTCACCTGTTACATGACCCCAAGACAAGCAACAGAGCCAACTTTTAGACTCACCTACCCAAAGCAAAGTCAACCCTATATAAATATTCCCTCTTCCTTCTTCTCTTTTTGTTGGGCATTCAGAGACACCAAAACTTCTGCTAAAGACAAAAACAGCACCAGCACAGCAAAAGTCCGCTTATCTCATTTTCAGAATTTGGTGAACTAATTAACAACTGTCAACGGAGGAAACAGGTGCTCTTCTATCAGGCTTTGGTGGTTATCCAAAGAGGGAGAACACATTCAAGTGATCACGCAAGGGCCTGAGACAGCAAGCAGTGAGTGATGTAAAGGAGGATAAACCCATCTACAGGAAAATACTGGAACAGATGTATCAAGGATCAGGTGGGATGAGGAGTGCAGGGCTGAGTTGGACTTGGACTAAGCTGTCCAGCAGTTTACAACATGCTGTTCAGGACTGACAAAGCATCAGAGCTGACACAATTTCATTCAAGCAGGATAGCATACTAGGATTGCAATTTTCACCTCACTGTTTTATGAGGCTCTAACAGAGCAAATGTCATATTCACTGTGATATAACAGTCATCTCAAAGGCCAGTTCTAGCAACAACTAGAGTTTACAGTCACTACTAACCTTTGTAATTCATGGAAATACTGTGTTGGCCAGTCTTTTAGGATACATGTTTAATACATTTTTTTCAATTTGTTGCTATGTACTTTCTAAATTCATACCTAGGTAGCATCCTTTTCACTGATCCACACATGCATACTGTCTGTCTTTCCTCCTTTCATATATATCGGCTCAAATGACACTATTGTATTGCAAACCCCTGACTGCTGCACATTTTCAAGCCCAGTGTGTGTTTTACAGCCTTACACTATCTCCCCTATATGGAGTGACCCAGCCCTGATTTTAAACTCACCTCTGCAGAGGATTGATTTTTCTGCCGGGATTTTTTTGAATGAGTACCTAGTTCTGAAAAAAACCCTTGACAACAGCATCAGTCATAGCACTGGTTTTTATTAACAGCACTCTGCCATTCCATTAATATTTTTATTTCAACACTACAAAGTGCTGTGTTTATTATGTCCCACAAATCTTTGATAAGATGGGTCAGTTTTATTCCTGTTTTGAAGACACAGGAAAAGATGACAAGATGTTGCCACTTCAAGTGGTAGATTCCCCGGAGTTCTGACAAGCCCAACCTCTCGCTATAACCAGTATACAACACTTCTTCATCCTAATCACAAAGCTATAAGGCTGCAAGGACTTTCATGAACTTATTAATCTTTCAAAACTCTACAGTTCAGACCAAGAAGTTCAGGGAACGCACCATGCATCCTGTCAGAGCTGATAGACAATTACAGCTCATAAGATAAAAGGAGAGCAAGTTCTTCTGCTTTCAAAATCCAAAAAATAATAAAAAGTCGAAACACCTTTTTTGACAGCTGACTTGTTCTTTTTGTCTTCTTACTTTCTTTCCACTATTGAAGTGCAGTTGGCAAAGCCTATTTCTAAGCTAGTTTGTTACAATACAGCACTATATGCATGAGGGTGAGGGGAGAAAACCAAGAGAAAAGGGAAACACAGAAACAGGTTCTGACATCTAATCAGATCTGCTGTATTGATTTTGCAGCTTTAGCTTTGGAGCAAATCAGAGAAACAACCACATTATCATCCAGGATTCGCTCTTCCCTCGAGTGAGCCGGTTCAAAAGGAGCTCACACTGACACTAAACAGGCACTCCTGCATGCACACACACGCTCACACACATGCACTTGCCCATGTGGATGCACACCCCACCGAAGCAGCTCTCCAATGGGATGCGTGGGCTGGGGGAGGTGAGAGAAGTGCTCATCACAGAGGCTGCAGGAGCCACACGATCCCCATTTCCAACAAGATGAGAATTCCAGAGCAAAGCCACCAGACTAATGAGCTACCCACACTGGAAAGCTGTGTTTCAATTAACCACAGAAGCCCCCGCCGCGGCATTCACATCCTTCCAGCAGCATGAACGAGGAGGAGAGGGATAAACAGGGACTGTGTTGTTTCTGGGTCTGCTTTTTGGGGGCTGGGAAGGAAAGGAGAATTCTGTAAAAGGGTTGAGAGCAATTCTTGTCCTACTTTCTTGGTTTGCAATTTCTTATTCATACTAATGGAAGGAGCAATTGACAGTCCTGAAACCAAGGCTGCCTGCTTAGGCACAGAACAGGCAGTACCACCATAAGGTCCTTCCACAATTTCCAGGTAGGAGGAGACAGTTCAGGTGTACTAACACTCAGGATGCACCCAGCTTCAACTAAGGGTAAATGGAAATAATGGAAAAGGGAAGAGGGCTGTTCGGGTGGGCTGTTGCATGGACCCTGACACCATTACTTGGGCAGGATCACAATAAAGCATTGCTTGGTCATGGGAAGAGCTATAGAAAGAGTATGTTGGGTTACTCTTTACATGGTTCATCACATCTTTGCCTTCTAGAGGGTCACATCAAAGGCTCTGCCCCAGAACTGCTTCTGGCTTGTACCTACCACCTTTCTTGTACGGAGAATCATGTCCTCCTCCTGCAGCTCAAGATTCACAGCTGTGATCCCCCTCTAGACCACCTAGTAAGCCTGAATTCATCCCAAGCTTGGCACTGCTGCTCCCTCTGCAGGGGCAATGAGGGTCAAGCGAGAACCACACAGCTTTCAAAAAGTAACACCAAACTGGGGACACCAGCAGGTCTGATGGTTCTTTGCTCCCAAGTGAAATTTTGCTGCACCTCTCATCAGTTCTTGAGGTGACCAAGAGTCACCCTCCCTATCATGTCTGGTCAAATCCCATACATTTGGCCCAGGATGCCTTCCAGAACAGCTCAAACCAAGATACGCATTTTCACCCTGCTAAAGGGAAGCTTCTCCACACATATTTACCTGCATGGAAATCTGCACACATTTCCCTGTCTCATCCTGTAATCTAATTCTTGCCATGCTCCTGAACAGACAGAGACAATTTTAAAAGGGGATCTTTGAACACTCAAAGTGCCTGCAGGATTTCACACACCTCCATTACTGCTGTGCTCCCAGCAGCTCACATCTGGGAGCAGTTTGTCTGGTTGATTTCAGCCAGGTTGTCTGCTGAGGTTTCACTTCTCTTATTCCTGGGGAGAAAGCCTGAAAGAAGTGTGGCAGCATGTCTAATGAGTGCTGCTGTGTTGTATGTGGAGGCTCATCAGTCACAGCCCAGAGGCAGCATGCCCATGTGCAAATTAACCTGCTCCCTGCCCATCCCACACCTGTCAGATCTGTGCTGCTCAGAGTACTCTGCAAGAGTTCAACAATCACACCATTCTCATGGGATGCAATCTGCAGGAAGAGCCACTCCTACAGTCACCACTCCTTCCAGACCAAGGCATTTTACCCAGCTGCTTTCCCCATCTGATTCAAAGCCTCATAAGGAGAGAGAGCACACACACTCCCACATGTCAAAAAACACCTCAACAGCATGGGAGCGGAGCAGGCACTCACTTCTCTGGAGGGAGAAACCACTGCAGGGAAAGGACAGAGATGTCATCCAATGCAGACACTGGCAGCATCCCTCCTTCTTTGTTCACCTTTGTGCACAGTTATTTCCTCCAAGTGGGGCTGGGAGCACTGCCCACAGGTAAAATCACTCCATATACCACATACTAAGAATCAGTTTTCTGTTACAGCCTTGTTACATGAAAACCATTTGGGATATGCAGTCTCTGTTAGGTCTGCCTAGCACTGCTTTTTAGGCAAAATGATCCAGGCACATCGATAAATGATAGCTGGGGTAACTAAGTTGAAAAAAAGGTTGTGGGGTGAAAATTAACGTTCATTTATTAAGGTCATTTGTGGAGTCTAATTAACATTCATTTGCACCTTTTGAGTGTTTGACTTTACAAACTTCATAACATACCCTGAAGGTATTTTACACACATGTCATGCATATAAACACACACCTGGTGAAGCTGCTGTTCTGCAGCCATCCTCTGATACGGAAATAGAAAGCATTGTATACAAACATGTACAACACCTCTCCCCCTTCCATTTGCAACATGCTGGCCATATGGTACCCTGCCCTTATCCTTGTGTAGCCAGACCAATTAAATATAAACTGTTCAACAGTCCCCAGACAAAAGAGATGTGTCTGCTCAGCCCAGGAAGAAAGGTCAACCCTGCTTAGCCTACAGGCTTTTGTGTACACAGGCATTCAGCCAGGTGCTCCAGTACTGAATGGTTATACTCACACTGCACGTTGAGCTGCACCAGGGCTTCCCGGGGTCTGATGTTAAAGCCATTGTACCTGGCTGTCTGACACTTATAGGTCCCACTCATTTCTCGGCTCACACTCTCCAGATGCAGCTTCCCATCGTATGTCTCCATCGTCATTGTCCCTGAAGGCATCGGGGTTTCCTTATCTACCCGGGACCAGATGATGGGTGGCTTGGGCTTCCCACGAACCTCGCACTGCAGCTCTGCCCTGGAGCCTTCCCGGACAGTGATGGTGGACTGACCCTTAGGGACACTGATCGTTGGTGGCACTAAAAGGATAACGAGAAGGGAATAATTTTACACTGAGTTTTCAGCAAGTAAGGAACATTCTTGAGACGCCTGTGTTTGAGTCATGCCAACAGCCTTGAACTCTCTACGAGCACACTGTCCTGTGCAAATTATCCTACAGGAGCTGGAGCTGCAGGGTACCAAGTAAGATCCCAGCTTCTCCAACATTGTATCCCAATATCAATGGCAAGTGCCACGTGTATTGGGGCAGACTCCCTGTTCCCATTCCTCTGTCTGCAAAATGCTATCCAGCAGGCATTGAGGAATCCAAAGGTAAAAGCCTCTTTGATCCATTTCTCAATTTCTGGTCAGTGAATTTCCCAAGGAAATAAAAGTTGTGTCTCCCAAGGGGTCTAGCACCCTTATCCAGGTCAGACCAAAATCAAGATTTAAAGAATTAGTGCTTGTAGATTGCATCTCTAGGGGGTCCACAATCCCTGTTCCTAAACTACAGCAAGGAATCAGCTCTGTTAGGTGTCTTTGCTTATTTTACATTGGTGAATGCACTGTGAATCTCCACACCAATGAACCTCTGGCTCATCTGAGTGAGTGACGAGTCCCAGCAAAGATCAATCCTGGCATCCCTTCCAGGCTGGGAAGAGCTCACCCAGCAGAACTGCTGCTGAGCCGGGGCTAGAGTTGGAGGCACAGTAAGACTCAAAGAAATACCCAGTTATCAACTGACAAACAAAACTTTGTTGATAAACAAAGCTCAAAAGAAACCCAATGACTACAGCTAAAGGGTGCAGAGTTGTCAGCGGGAAGAGGTTTGCTGTTCGCATCCCTAACACCACCAAGAACCCAGGAAAAGGATGTTTGTGCTAAACCCCACGAAATATTGACAATTTATCTGTGTTAGGCTTTAGAGTTAACAGTTCAGCTGAGGTAAATATGGCCACAATCATTCTCTGAAAGCTACCTTTTCAGCCCTTCCTGCTGACAATGGCAACACTTGGATTGGCACTCCTATAACTGCCAGGGCCATGTACTTCGTTTCCATTTAAATCAAAATGCAGGACTACAGAAGCTGTAACAAGCTGGTCTGACCAACATTAGCTCAATTCAGCTCCAGCAAAGGAAAATGTGCTGTAATAATTGTACATGTTACAGCCTGGAGCACTCTATGAACAAATTTAGGATGGATCCAGCCTAATCTTCCTCTGCAGTGACCTCCCTATGCAACAGGGAGGCCACATTTTCAATTTGCAGGTCTCCCGTGGGCGGGGGAATCTCATCACACCCTGTCCTGCACAGTGCGAAGGTACGACAGCACTTTCAGTGCCAACGCTGTCGGCAGCTACTCACCTGGTGAGCTGTAATTTTCTCCACAGGAAAAGTTGTAAATTACATTTGAAGATTTTTTTTTTTTTTTTTTTAATTAGAGCTATCTCCTTGGAACTGCTCAGTGGAGGCAGCCACCTTGACGAGCTCAGGCTTTGCTCAGTGGGGAAACACGAAGCCACTGCTGCTGCCCTCCTGCTCTAAACCTGTGGTCTCACAAAAACCTGGGGTTTTATATGGGAATCACTTGTCAGAGGTGGCTCATTGCTGTTTGTGGGAATTCTGCATGTTGGACAGCCTTGGCTGCTGCATGGAGGGCTGCTCCAGCAGGGATGGCTGTTTTCATTCACTGGGACACATGGATGTCCTGCTGGCCCAGGCTGACAAAGAGAGGCTTTAAAATACCCCAAGCTGCCCTCCCACTCTTCCTCATTGGCAGCATCCACACAAGCATATGGGACTCATTCTCCTCCAAACAGGCATGGGGCAACCTGCCACTTCAGACTCCACCTTTAAGGCAGCAACTGGCTGGTGCTTAGACCAACATCTGCACTGACTGACACTGCCCAGCCTCTCAGTAGGGTCATCCAAGGTCTCCCAACCCTTTCCAGCCTCCTACCCTTGCAGTCTTAAACACAACTGCACTCTGCCATCTAGTGATCTTGGGCAAAAAGAATTGCTCCCGGAGGTATCAGCCACTCAAGGTCAGGAGAGAGAGTTTTGCAGCAGGACTGGGGAGTTCCCCCGATTTTGTTCCCTGTTGGTATGACAAGGTTGGTGTCAGCAGGCATGGAGTGGGTCCACAGCTGCCCACAGAATAAAAGCACCATCCCTCACTTTTTAGTAGGTCCAAGGCATGGGCAGGACTCATTCTTCAGGCTGCTAATGAGCATTGGATGCAATCACATTGGGAACAGGCTGGCCCCAGTATTTCTGATGGGAGATAAGGGCTTCCCAAAGCATCAAAAGCAGTTGCAGCACTTTTTGTTGGGGAGCTGTAATCAGAAGCGTCCAGAATCAAGACTGTGATCAGACTGGCCTATGAGTCCAGCACAACCAGGGACTGAGAAGAAACTTTCTGTAAAGGTTCAGGTCAAAATTTGTGGGCAGCTGTCTCCCCTGCGGAGTCCTCATCAGATTATTAATGCAGTGCTGCTTTGTGCTGTACTCTCTCGGCCCTGGAAAGGCAGCACAATGACATGGATGTAACGGAGAACACAGCTGGATCCATCACTTCTCCAGAAACAGAAAGACAACCCTGTCAGTCCCCAAAGTGACTGACAACCATTTACCTATTGGTCCTGTCCTCAACAAGCCATGGGGTGAAGCTTTGACCCTGATTTTAAGGGGGGAGGCATTTATAACACTTTGACTCCTGCAAAAAGTGCCCAAGACAGACTGCATTTGCAATCCCATAAACATTAAAACATTAAAAATCTTCATCTATGGCAGATGACACCAATATCCTGGACATAGCTCTGAAAAAAGGTATATTCCTCATAAGCAATGCCAAAGAGAGGAAACAACAGCTTTCTTTCTCTTTTACTCCCTTCTAAACAAAGGGACACTTGAAATTTGGTGAAATATCACCTCTTCTTCCTTCCTTCACAATGTGGAGGTTTCTTTGAACAGTCACACTCTAAACCTGTCTCTGTAGCTTTGAGTGTCCTTTGGACTTTTCACAGGGAGAAAACATAAAGAAAGATCTGCTTGCTGCATAAGACATCTGACAGTGAAGCTGTAAGTATTGTCCATCTCCAATCTCAGCTAAGTGCTTGCCTGAGGATGTGAGACTTTTCCCCACTGGGATTCAAGACACTCATGTGAGGTCCTTCAAAAAAGCCAGAGGCATGCAGGTGGGGGGAGTGATGTCAAACACTCCTCTGAGGTCCCCATCTGCCACAGAGAGGCTCACCTGTCTCTGAGGAGATGTTCACCTCCACACTGAGGTCAGGAATGGGTGCTCCCTGGAAGGTAGCCACACACATGTAAGTACCATAGTCACTGAATCGCAGGTCAATAATCTCCAAGCTGCAGGTCACAGGTGGGAGCTCGGGGTCATTCCGGGTGATGAGCAACCGGTCTGAGAACCTGGCTGGTTTCCCGTTCTTGTACCAGGAATAGACAACCTTCTCCTGGGGAACAGCATCTACATGGCATGAGAGCTTCAAGTCCTGTCCTAACTGGATAGTCTCGCTCTCTTTGATCACATCAGGAGTGATTTGGAATGTGGCATTCTTCATGGCTGAGATAAACAGAAGTGAAAAGCTGGTTAGGGACAGTAAAGTGTCTTGCATGGGACATGACAACAATTCTTTGCTCCTCAGGAAGGCAAAACCTGCTCAAAGATCTTTGCAACTTACTTTCCCATAAAATGTCCCCAGGGCCTCACATCTGGCAGTCTGGGATCATTCTCCAGCCCAGGATAGTGGTACAGCCTGGGATGAGGCTGCAAGAAGTGCTTGCACAGCTGTTGGTCTGGGAGCAGAGAAATTTGCACAGGCACTTCTCCAGAATACTAATTGCTGCTAAATATCACATTCGCCCTCAGCCATACAAGAACAGCCAGGAGAAATGCAAATCCAACCCCTCTGCCCTGAAAACCCATGCTCTGAGAAAAACAGCAACTTACACCGCACCAGCAGGTTCACTATCTTCTTTGCTGGGTTCCCCACATTGTTGATGGCCGTGCAATTGTAGTAGCCCGAGTCCTCCACGCGGATCCTCCAGATCGTGAGGTTGCCTCCTTGCACAAGGCTATTGGGAGGTATTGGGCCAGGAGAGTGAGACCAAACAACTTCTGGCTGTGGGTCACCACCCATCAGAGAGCACTGCATAGTGATGTTGTCACCAGGGTTGACCACCAGGGTCTCATTGACAGACAGCTTCAGAGCAGGTGGGGCTGGAAATGTACAAAGAGGGACACTCCTGAGCTTGAAAAAGACCCATGCACTTGCCTGTACACAGCTTCCTACTTTCTAGGATTTATTCTTGATGATGACTGGTTTGAGTAGGGAGAGCTGGAGGGATCAGTGAACTCATTACAAATACAAAGTGCCCATGAATCTAAAGCGTGATCCTTACCATGTCTTTCAGTTAGAACACTCTGCTCTCAGGGCTAACAAACAGCATAGGGAGGAACCACCCCAGAATGGAGGTCATACCTAAACCACTCATCATTAGGACTGGAGCACAAACTAGGTATGACATTTTATCAGTGCCAAGTGCAGGTTCTCTAGGGCTTAGGATGCAGGTGTCAGTGAACCCTTTGCACAGGCATGGGTGGAAAACAGACAAAATTTGGCAGTGGAAAACCCAAGGCTAAAAGCTTCTTGACTCCTGGTGCAAGCAGCTGCAGTTAGGCATAAGGGCAATGGAAAGCCACTGTAGACTTGATGGAGAGGTGAAGGAGAATGGATATGCTCAGAGGAGCCTGTTTGAACCAAACCACTGCTTGTGTTCAAGGACAGCTTGAACCACTCATCCCAAGAAGGGAGCTTCAGAGAAGGTCTTAAACTAAAAGGATGTCAGCTGTCCTACAATATGCCTCTCCATCTCTCACACCCATCTAGACATCTTTGACAGGCATAGTCCTAGCAGTTCGGAGCCTGATATGGAGGACCAGGACCTGTCTGCACAGTAACAAATCATGAGCAGCAACTCTACACCTGCTCTTAACCTCCTTCACCTCCCTGGGTGTTTAATACACTTTTCTATACACCTGGGGGCTACCACAATCACAGGGATTCTCTTCCATGTACAACTGAACTGAAACTCATTCAAAACGTCTAGACAACCTCTCCTTTGAATACCCTAGTACCTGATTTTCAGTTTATTTTATTTCTGCACCTTCTCATTACAGCCCCCTCCAGGAATTGATCAAAAATACCTCCCTTTGTATTCTCTATTTTATTCCATGAAAAGCCTTTCAAAGCCTCTGTCAGCACCATGACTGGCTCCATCCAGACAGAGTTGAGAAAGCATCAGTCCCCAGCACAAAGGCGGACAGTGTGTTTTAAGTAACAGTCATAATAATGCAAAATAAGATATTGTTCCATATTCATGAAGCCTGATTTAACAGCATCATTATTTCTGCCTCCTCTCTCCCTGGACCCTGTGTTAATGAGCTGTGCTGGATTTGTGTTGGATCCCTAAATTACAGCCCATACAAACAAGGCAAGGAGGACTGCTCTCTCCTCAGCACCAGTGCCGTAATTTAGTAGTGCAACTACTGCCGTGCTGCATTATTGGTTTGGTGCACTGAATATAACATCCTCCCTGGCCACAGTACATGCTGTTTTTGCCAGAGGTGGTGAATTGTGCCTAAGGAAGAAGAGGGCTCCTCTGTCACCTGCACTGGACATTTTGAGGCCAGGGGTTGGAGTCCTTGAATTTCGGGAGGCCACAATCTGCATTCAAGAGACTTTGGTAGCTCTCTTTGTTGGAATCTTGCAAATAGTGCACAAGGGTTAATGCATAGTAAATGGCAAAGGAAGGATTTGTACATCCTCACCAAGGTGGTTTCATGAGATACCATGAAGCCCAGAAACTCAATAGCTTGAGTCACCATGGTTGGGTAAGACACAATCTTGTCACTAACTGAGTGTAGCTGACACCAAATTGCTGTTTCTGCCTTCTGACATTGAACTAGTCTCACATTCACAGGGCATGGACAAACTGACAGATGCAGCATACATCCCCTTCAGAGACAGAGAAAGGCTGAGACTGGCCTCTACCCGGAGAGAAGGTGTCAGAGTTGGGAAGCACAGACCAGAGGTCCTGCACATGCTGGTTCAGATTTAGGGCTCTTGCAGCATTTGATGTGCACATATCTGACCCACACTCATCTTGCCCAGCTCTGGACAAGGCAACATAGAAAAAATGTGACATGCTGGTGCAAGCACTGCATCAGGACAGGTTGTGTGTAATGCAAGAAGGCGGTAAGGAAACTGCAAATCTGCTACCTGCACAGCTCCAGGCAGCAAGCTCCCATGACATACCTCAAAATGGAGCCCTGGCTGTGGCAGCCTGTGTGGATCCCCACTCCCCACTCCCACTCCTGTCAGCAGACAGAGGTTAACAGACTGCAGACATTGTTATGCAGGAGATGAATCTCATTTATTTGTAACCTGTGGCAATTCCTTTTGTTCTTGGCTCAGAAAACCTGCTGGCGGAGTCTGCAGAGCATCGAGGGGACCATTAAAAACAAAGAATCGCTTTCAATTCCCTTTGAAGTCCAATTTGCTGCAGTAAAACTGCTGGAGAATTAACCAGCTGGGCTGCTTAATTTTGCAGAAATTGAGGAAGGAGAAAACATCAGGCTGACCCTGCTGGAGCAGGTGATGACAGCCCAGTGCTGAGCTGGTCCTGTGGCCCTGCAGACCCAACCTGCTGCTTGGAACCATGCAACAGCAGCAGAACAGAGGAGGAGCAGAGAAATCTACTTCCCATTAAGGTTGCAGACAAAGAACCCAACCCCTGCTGCTAGGGCCAAGTTGCTTACGCAGAGCTTGGGAGAAGCACATCTCCTTGCTGGAGACTATGATCTGCCCAAAGGCCACTGAGGAGCCAGCTGTGGAACTGAGGAGCCAGCTGAGGAACAGCAAATGAACTGAGAAGATTCCCTTGGCCTGACATGACCTGACCCACCAATTTCCCTCAAGGTCTGTAGTGCTGGGGACTATAAATATTTAAGAGATGGATTTCCAAGCATCTGAGTGCCTTTTGGGCCCTTCTCAGTTGCAAAGGCAAAAGCATCCTGAGCTAAGCTGCTCAGGATTCTGGGCGCAGCCAAGGCTAGAGAAGCTGTGAAAGCTCAACTGCAAGAGGGACAGAGAAGACCTACACAAAAAAGGAAAGAACTAAAGAATTTCCTTTAAATATTTCCTCATCTATGCACAATACTACCTACAGGGCAAGTAACCCAGATAATATTTCTAATTAAATATACTTGTGGTATTTGACACAAATCCTGCTCACACTGCAATGCCAGCTTCATTTTCACTGCCAACTTTTAATACAATTTGCTATGAACACATTTTCCATGGCCCCTTTGAGCTTGTAGTGCCAGGCTCCAATGTAACTATGTATAAATATGCATCTATAATTAAGCAACGGGAAGAAAATACTAGATATTTGTACTACATGGTCCAGGTTCAGAACTTAAGTAAGTACTTAACAACTTGGTGTAAATTCAGACATATCACTGACTTCTGATTGGAGCTACAACCTGAAAATACACTTTCCCCATTCACTTAGTAAAGGGGCTGGATTGAAATGAAGGGTAGTTTCTCTGTGCTTGGGCTGGCAGGGGGAATGGACATGAAGAGAAATTTATTTTCTGACTCCTCAAAGGTGAAGACACACAGAGAAGAAGAGCTCTATAAGATCCCTTGCTTCATCATGAGCAGAAGATAGGTTTTTAAAGAGAATATTTCAACATTTGCTACAGTCTCATCCTGAGAGAAATTCGGGTAATAGGGTGAGTTGCTCAAGATATGTTCAGAGATCTTACTACATAGAGAATACTTTTTTCTGACACTAGCTATAATTCACTTTCTTAAGCTCATTACTTTTCTTCTTCCTACCTAAAATGAGGCAACTATTGTTCAACGCCTTGAGCTCAAGTTAGATCAATAAACATAATTTAAACAGTATCAACAATATCCTGTCAACAGTTAGCAGCATCAGAAAAAGTTCTGTTTCTGCTGCACAAAGACGACACAAGGGATGCAAACTGCTTTGTGTTACATTAGAGAGGTGAATAATTCAAACCACTACAATGCCTTTCTCTCTGATCATGGAATACCCCAGAGCTGGAAGCAATTTCCTGACATTTACTTACTATTTGAAAATATTCAACACCTGGGGGGGCTTTGCAGGTGGGGATTTTTTTGTGTATGTGTGTGGTTTTGTTTTCTTCTGTTTTTTAATGGACAGGTTGCAATCGGGTCCTTGCCAGTATCTGATACGTGATACTCAATCGTTTACTGCAGGTCAAGCAAGAGGCATCAAACTGAATCTGCTGAAAACTGGAGGTGCCCTCAAGTATTGCTGACATGAATATGAGTGTAAAATCTCTTTATTGGGGAGGCACCACAGAGGCATGCTTTCTACAAACACCGGCACCACTGGAACCTGTTAGCTGGGATGTGCTGAGAGCACAGCCCGGCAAACCAGGCCAGAGTCACACATGGATGAATTATTCGTAAGAACTGCAGCACTGCCCAGCTCTAGATGTATCGAAACTATTTTTAAAGTCACTCAGAATTATAAATAAATAAAACAGTGTCTGAATTAAAAATTACATAGTGCCTCAACACCTACACGTAGTCTCCTTCAATGATCTCATGGCAGGCCTGGCCAAGGCACCGGATATATGCAGTGCTACAAGAAATTAGAGCATCCCTGGCCACAAGACTTCCATGTGAAGGCTCTGTAATCCCAGCAGCCACGTACATGAGGGTGATGTACTGCACACCCTGGACAGGGTTCTGTGCTACCCTCCTCAGGAGTAATGGTTGTTGAGCAGGCAAGGGGTCAGAAGGTTGCAGGAACCCTTCACATCCCCTCTTACCTGTGGTGTTTGTGAGCTGGAAGGTGATGGATTTGTCAGGGATGCTGCAGACATTGCGGACAGACACCTGGCATGTGTAGCTGGCATAATCCTGAGGTCGTAGGTTTTTCAGCTTCAGGACTTTGGTTTCACCCTAGGATTTGGGAAAAATGGGGAAAAAAAAAAAACCACAGGTGTACAAAGCACAGATCATCACTGCAAGTCCATAACCTGTCCCAAAGTTCACATATTACTAGCAGGTCTCATCAAAACCTCAGGGTACCGAGCAGATTCCAAGTCCCTCCAGCTCTATATAAAGGAGACCCAAAAAGTTTACAGTAGTAGTTTCACCTCAGGGATTTCTCAAAACACCCAGCAACAGACTGACATTTGATCTGAAGGCACTGCCAAACAGGTCTGGGCATAATTTCTCATCAGCTGCTGCCAGAATCATCTTGCAGAACATGACAAACCTTAAACATCTCAGAATAGATCCTAGGAACTCACTCTGAGATGTCAGTAGCAACACAAGGAAAGTCATTGGGGAGTCAACATTGCCAAACCAAAGTAAATTAGAGCAGATTGAGGCATTAATGCTGGCCTAAATATGACAAGTCCAACAGTTACACTGTAGAAATTTGCAGTATAGAGGGAAAGAGTATTTCAGAGAAATACTCAAAGAATTCCCAAAACTTTCTGATCCTTCTTTTCCAGATTCTAATCTCATTTATGTGGATATAAATCCAGAGTGGCTGCACAGACTTTGATAGCCTTTTCTCATAGTAAGGTAATACACAAACAAAATCACTGCCTGGCACTCCATTAGTTACTGGCTTGTTATAGAAACAGAATCAAGTTGTTAAATTAGTGATAGATGTGTTCTGTAGATTTTTATTTATGGAATGCAGAAAGCTCTGAGATGCATCCTATGGTTTGCACACCATGCAACTCATATGTCTTCTCCCGACAGCTTGTCGCTATTTTCTCCTTGTGTTTGCCTAAATCTCTTTTGGAGAAACCATTCCATAACTGCCTGCAAATGTGAGAAGGTGTCAGCATGACAAATCCTCCTAAGGACAACCTTGGGGGACTGGACAATGAGCTCAGGCATGCTAATATGCAGAGAACAAGGACATGAACTGAATAAATTAGAACAATAAATACCTGGGACACCAATAACCCTATGAGAGTCCTGTCCCCTGAGGATTGTTGCTATGCCACACAAATGACGGCATTTACACAGTGCATGTCATCTACTTACTTACAGGGTCATATGTATCCTGTTCATTGATTATTAGATGTTGGGTAAATATGTATAAAGTCTTCAACTCCTTTCTAACGCAAAAGCCTATTCAAACCTGACACTGGTACAGGTTTGTCTCAAAGACAATATTGCAAACTCCAGTGACGGGTGCTTTGTTAAACACAGTGCATTTGAGCTCCAGCAAGATTTTGCTTTCCTGACAGTGTTGCAGAGGTGTGTTTTTGTTAACTTCAACTCTTACCAACCCAAACTTACAGGCTTACACTGGTGCTAAGGAAAAGACCATAAGGGCATGCCTCTCTATGCGCACAGCAGTCCTAACACCCTCTCTCAGATCTGGGAATGACCCATCGTGTTGGGAACATTGCCTGAAAGGAGCTGCAGGATGATGGGTCCTTTACACATTAAGGCTGCAACATGGTGAATTTCTGCCAGATGCCTTATTTAGCTGAAGAAAATATCACAAGTCCTAATGCATCCTCTCATTAAGCAATGTCTCCCGTTAATTACACTGAGCTCAGTGAAAGTCAGAGAGTCCACGGTGGCTTCCTCTAAGGCCAGGGATGTCCTACTTGGGAGCCACATAGTGCACAGACAAAGCTGTCTTCAGGGCCGAACAGCAGTGCTGACTTACAGTGTTTCTGCAAATCTGCTGCTAACCTGCAGCTCTCTCCTCCCTCCTCATCCCCCTGAATGTTTCCATTTGGCTGCCCATTTCCATGACCTGCAGAGATGGCGTGTTTCAATAAAATATGAACACGACTACATTAACTTAACGGTTGCCTGGGGCATTGCTCAGAAATCAGACTTGGGCAGAATGTGCTCAGGGCCCGGCTCTGGGAATGCAGTAAGGTGCTTGGGATGAAACAGGTGCCCTGGGGAGCTGCCCTTCCAGCCCTCCCTTCTCACCCATCACTGCCTTGTGCTGCCTAGCAGCCTTGCTGGAAATACTGGGGCTGATTAGCATCTGAAGGACATTCAGAACTGGAGCTCAGTTTAGGATAACATGCCCAGAGTGCCTTGGCATGAGAAAAATTCCCTTTGGTCTCCCACTGCATTGGCAGGCTAATTACTGTGAAGGAAGTGGTATTCGTGGGGGGAACATGGTTGTCCACACAGGCAAGCAGGACAAACAAAAAGGATGTGGACTCCTTGTCGCTGGACAACAGTCAGGAAGTGCCCAGGCATCTCTGCTCCCCATTACTCGAGGTCATTAGGAAAAGCTCATGGATCCCACAGCAATGCCTGCCCCATTCGCTCATACTGCTAAACAGGAAGCACTTCCCCTCACATATGGGGCTTGGGCATTCAGTTAAAAAAAAAAAAAAAAGCAATGGGAGATAGAGGAAACCCAATCTTGGAATTGTTTGCTTGGGTTTTAGTCTCAGCCATCCAACAGCCACATAAACTCATTAGGGGAGCTGTGACCTGCTCTCAGGGAGAGTGACAAAAAGAGAAAGGTAATTCTAGGCTGTCACACTGCCCCCTGCTGCCCTGCTCTTCCTGTATCCTGGGAATCTGCATGCAGGAGGTTCTACCAGCCCTTCTGGAGACAGTGCTCCTTGCAGTGCTCCACACACTCTCCTCAACATCATAATCCATACAGGGAAGGAGACACAATCTATGACAGTGCCCTGCATCAGCAAGACACTCAACAAAAGTCGGCAGAGGTTTGCTTTCTTTCACCTGTGTGTAGAGGGGTTCATAGATGTCCACGCCATTGTCCTGACTGTGAGAAAGCGTCTCAGCTCCCCGCTTCCAGATGAAGCGAGCTGGTGGGTTGGAGTTGACCGTGCAGCGGAGGAAGACGGTCTTCTCCTGGTAGAAGCTGCCACGTACATCGCTGATGGTCTGGTGAACGGTGAGAACAGGTTCATCTAGATCTGGAAGGAAGGTAGGGAGGGTCGCAGCAGTTGTTAGCGAGCTTGGTCTGCGTGTACAGCCTGCAGAGCATATGATGCTCCAGGCGCCAAGGAGGAGAGGGGAAGGTCCCACACATTTGGCTGATGACAACTGCTGATTTAAGAACCGATCTGAGGGCAAGTAATACAACTGATATCTAAAGGGAACAGACAGGAGAAGCCAAAATTGTCCCGCTCACCAAACAACCTTCAGAGAATAGAAAGCAGTCTCTGGTTTGCCAATCCCCATGAAGTTCTCAAACCACCTGGCTGCCACATGCCTCTCAGAGCAGTGGGCTGCCTCACCTTCCACACTGGTACACCCCCACTCCCCCCCTCAAAATCACAACTCTCTACTTCAGTGAAAGGTCAGAGGGATCCCAGGAAACTCTGCTCCATCATCATTTCTCCACTTTTCAGCTTCCAGATCCCTCCTGAAATCATGGGACTAAGACCACAGCTGTGAGATGTCCATACAAAGGACAAGACAAACCTTCAAATAAAGGAGTGAGAGTGAAAATCAGGACATGATTGAGGAACTGAGATAGAGAATCATCTAGACAGGAGTAAGTCATGTGGGGAGTCATGGGAATATGAAATGCAAAGCACTGTAGTAAGAATGTATAATTTCTCTCCCTATTAAATATCCTCTTATTTTCTTCAAGGGCTGTACTGACTACCCCTCTTCATCAAAGTCTGCTCACTTCAACTCCATTCCCCATCCCTAAACTGATCAGATTCTTTTGTTTTCTCCCTTTTCAGAAGACGCTCCTTACAATTCTCTCACCATACCTCTACCAGACATGCAGCCATCATGACTGAATCAATGGTTGTCAGTGACTTCACTTGCAAGGACACAAACAATAGCCCTGCAGGGAGAATATTTTCTGCATCCACACAGAGCACACTGCTCCCCTAGGGCTGCCCACCCGCTAAAAAGGGATCATTTGCTTGGAAGTTGCACCAGGTATCAAAGTTTGAACATCAAGGTAGCATGGGGGAAACCTCAGAGGAGATGGATCTTTCTCCTTCCAGAACGCCTTTGAGACTGATTGAGGTTAAATGTAAAGATCCCACTTGACAAGAACTGACACTCTAAAACTGAAGTCTGTTCCTGTGCCCTCATGTATGTCTTATGAGGCATCTTTTGAGCTCAGTTGAAGTCATTCTACATTTTCAGGAGCCTTATGACCCCATTTTCAGCTTTGAGGAAACTCAGGTATGTCTCTGGTGCTGCCAGCACAATCTTCTCCTCATGTTAACATGTTAACATGCTCATTGCCACCTGCCCTCCTATGCCACCTAATTTTCATTACATTTTATTGTACAGATTTGCAAGTTTGGAGATCTGACTTCTAGAAAGCAAGAGGAAAGCAAGGATGAGTTTCTGTTAACAAGTCATCCAAACAACGTATGTTCTCTGCTGATTCATAAGTGTCAGCTTGTGCATTTGCATATTTTAATGAGCTGTATGCTTGGCAGACAGCAATTGTAATGGGACCTGAAATTTGTCTGCTTGACCACAGCTCAGAGGTATGGCTAGAGTCGTTAATGGAACAATGACAAGACCCAAAAAATATCTCAGGAGAAAAAAACCAAACCAAAACAAAAAAACCTAACCAAAAAACACTCAAGGTTGAAGAATAACATACACAAATGGAAAAAAAAAGACTCCTCTCCATACAGTGATGTCTTGGTGTGGCCATAAGTTGACTGAACTTTACAGCAAAATCTTTTGGACCAGGACCCAGGGCATAGATTCTCTTCTTTTGCCTCTTCTTTGTCCTTAACTATCCTTTATTTGTTCAAACTTTACATGAGTGACTCAACCATCCTTCTAGGACTCCATTTCTCAGCAGAAAGTACGGTTAATCACTTCCCTTTCTAATCAAAGAGGATGTTCACCCTTCAGGTCTCTTGGCTCCCAGCTACTCCCCACACGAAAAACAATAGTTTTCTTTTGGTTGCTAAAGCTTTCCTCCCTCGAATCTTTCAGCCTTCTTTTGAAACAGTCAGCCTTAGGTCTAGCCCTCCTGAGAAATACTGAAATAAAGCCTACAATGATATGTATGTCCTCGATGTACAAGTAACACCACTGATGTCAGTGAGCTGCACAAATGATAAATTTGGCCCAAGGCTGCTCATGGAGATGACCACATGGGATCTTTCATGCACAGTAAGAGCTTGTAAACATTCATTCTTTCTTTTCCTTTACTTTCTCTCTCTCCCACATGGAAATACTCTGAACAGCAGCTGCCTCTCTGCCAGTATCTAATCAATACGTTAAAGGCTCACTGATGCTCACTTGAGGCAAAAGAATATCATGCTACACAGGTTAGAGTTTCCAGTTTAATACCCTCTTGGCACCAACAATGCTCTCTGTACAACCTTGCTGTCTAATACTAAAAGCATGACTGAGGACGAGCAGTAGCTGTCAAGGACACCAAGGTATACATGAGGCTGATTACTTACCTCTAACTACAAAATGGGATGCAGGGAAAGAAGGGGTTTGTTTTCAAACTCTTTTTCATTCAGCTGAAGGTTGCCTGGGTGAGCGTTCAACAAAACCTGTGACTTTTCCTATGTGTTCCCTTTACCTACTGCAAATACTAGCAGAAAATAGTCTCTCCTTCCTAAAAACCAAGTGAGCAGAACAGAGGTGCAGTAGTACCAAGTCCATCTGCAGAGTAGATGTTAGTATGAGAAAGCCCTTGGCCACCCCATTAGCCCCATAGTTCTACAGGTCAGAGCTGCATGAGGACCATGGGACACTACATCACTCTAGCTCCAGCCTGCACTGTGGGAGTGCCCTCAGGGCATAAAGAGATTCATGGCACAGTCCTGTTCTAGAGACACAGGCCCTGATAAAGTGTCACACTGAGGCTTGAGAAAAGCAAGTCCCCTTTGAAATGGAGAGTTATCGTATGCTTCCATCCACGTAGGAGAAGAAGTGGGCAGAGAAGCCAAGCAGATCTAGGGTAAGTGTCAGAACTCCCCTAAACAAAGCGATGCGATGCCAATGAAAAAATACCCAGCTTACCCACAGTGGCTGCTGCTGAAGCAATCTATTTCCCCAGCCTAGGTAGGTGGTGTCCACATACCAATAAAGGGTAGGGCAAGGAAAGAACAGAGATGGGAATTTCTCCCAGCCATACAATACAACTGTGGATTATAAACCTGTCAAAAGCTAAGGATGCTCATGTCTGTGGCACAGTTTGATGAGAGTCACATGTCTGTGGCACAGTATGGCTGGACAGCGGGACTGAGAGGAAGCAGTCAGGCAGCAGTTGCTGTCATCAAAAATATCTACAAAAGTATCTCCAGGTATGTACTGGGGTTTTGAAGCCTGGAGGTTGCTCCACTGACAGATAACCACAGAGCACATCAGCACAGAAGACTGTCTTGCTAGAATGAGTGTGGGAACAGGTTCTGGGACAGTTTCAGCTGCTTTATCATACTTCACAACTTTTTAGCATCTCCTCTTGCTGGCTAGGCATTCTCAGAAGATATGAGTGAGGAGAGGGATTTGGTATTACTTGGGCTGAAGAAAACTGTACTAGTAGATAGCTAAGGACAATCCGCAGAATGGTAATCTCCTACAAGAGAGTAAATATGTTCAAAAGTTGCCCAGACAATAAATTTTGGATTCCTCCCATATAGGTGCTACGGCATAAGTTTAATTTCCCTCCCTTTTGTCCATAGGAGCCCAAGAATAAACATTAATCCCGAGAATAAACATTAGGAGAAAACTTCAAAACTTGGAGCCCAAGTGGAAAACCACTAACAGTACCTGCAGGACACAAGAGAGATGGCCACTGTGACCAGCCAGAGAAATGCTGAGTCACCTTTACATCCACCCCTTCACAGCTCAGTCTCCTCAGCTGCACCCCAAAGTCTTCTACTCTGTTTCCACTGTGCTACAGAGGTAGCAATGCTGGGAGCAGGGCACTGATTTTAGAAACTCTCCCAGCATCGGGGACACTACCAACTTTAAGAAGCATTGGTTTGCTTCAAGCACTACCAGCTTCAAAATGAAGACAAAGAAGGCAGAAGCTACCTACATTGCTAAATCCCAGACAAGTGCTAGGGAATCCTGTCACTGACAGACACCATGGCACCTAGATAAGAATGACTCACAAGGACAGGCAGAGCTGTTATTTTTCATGGATGGGTCTAACCTCTTATGGAAAACGGACCCTGGGGACACCACTCCAGTCCCTTTGCTCCTGATTCAGGTGCACGTGGTCCTAGGGCAATGCAGCTCCCCGCTGGCCCCGCAGCGAGGCAGAGACATGCAGTAGAACTGTGGGAAGGTCTGGGTTGCCGCTAAACGACTTACACTGCACATCTACTCGAATGGACTTGATGGCAGGGACCCCAACCCCATTTTCTGCTTTACAGTAATAGCGGCCCCCCTGCAGCCTTTGGATCTTCTCAATCCGAAGGGTCTCGTTAAGCACTGACGTCTCTTGGAATTTGTCCGACGCGCTGCCAGCAGTTTTGGTCCATCTCACCTGCGTGAGAAGAACAAATGAAATCAGTGACACAAAATAGAGACCCCAAGAGACAGCAGAGCTCCCTTTGCTGCTCTTCCCCTTCCTCCCTTGCCCTCTCAAGAATGGGTCCTACAGCACCACCAGACTTACCAAAGCTCAACTACTGATCTCAGTAGGCCAGTTGTGATTCTCAGCCATCACCAAACCCCATGTCCAAGAATCCAGGATGAGCCTTCAGTTCACCCAAACACACACTGCGTATTTCCTGCTCCTGCTCTGGTCCTGTAAACCCAGTAGCTTGCTGAGTTTTATTCCACAGAGGACTATTGGCATTCAGCCTTGGGACCCCATGTGGCTGGTAGGTCATGACGCTGCAGCAGACATCAGCCCACAGCTACAGAGCCTTCATTGCAGTCCATACACATCTCTTTCTGGACAGCAAGGCTATTTCTGCTTTTTGTTTTTCCAAGAATGAGAAAATGCAGTTGCTATCTGACTTGTGCCCCTTTCCCACAGAATGCATAAGGCATTCTTTTGCAGTACACAAGGTTTTCCTCTGTTTTTAAAGATACAGAAAAGGAAAAAAAATAAAATAAAAAAAAATTCCTTCAGATTTCAAGCTATCTTTGCAATTTTTTTGTCCTTATGTTACATGTCTTAAGATCCTGGATTGCAGGGACAACAGAGCTGCAAGATATTTAATGGTGAATGGTGGCAAGAGAGCAGCAATCCTAAAGACTGAATGGTTATTCTTATGTCTGGAATGAGGTACAACCCTCACAGTGGCAGTACAAGCTTTCCCCTTGTTTTGTGCAGTACAGACAATGAAAGAGAGAGACATCTTTTCCCAGCCCATTGGTTTCCTATATCTGCAGCCTCCCTTCTAAAGGCTGGTGACTGCCGGTCTCCTACACCGATGCCCATCTAGACTCTGGGATTGAGATCCAGAAAGATCAGCCAGCACAAAGAAGACAGACTTTCATTCAGCATTGGTCATAGATAAAATGCACCAAATACCTTGACCAATCTGCTAGACTTTGCCTAAAGCTCACTGCCATCACCTGATTGATGCTGGTGCTCCAGAAAGAGCAGGGGGTGTCTACATCTCAGTCCCAGAGCATCAGACTGAGCAGATTTTCAGAGCTAATGACCATGGATTTATTCAGCCTTTGTAGCCTTATGAAATTGTCTGAGGGCCCCAAGCCTCTCCGAGTCGTCTGTTTGCAAGGACAATTCAGCCAGCTCTTTAATCTTTTCAATTGCAATCTCATTTAAGTATTTTGGCCACATTTTCATGCTTTAATGACTGGCTGATAGAAGGGGAAAGGGAAGATTAAACAAAGGTTAGCATAAGAGCTTAGCTGGGAAAGAAATCAATCCATGAGGAGGAAGGGCAGAGATAGGATGCCTGCCATGTTCTATATGCACAGGTTCCAGTCTCCCCAGTCATGCCTGGTTCCACATTTTCATGTACCCTGTGCATGTCCAGGCAATGACAAGCCACCATGCTGCCCACTAGAACGCTGCCTGCAACAGGCTCTACTCCAGAAATCTCTCTGGCTACTCAGGCTCAAAACCCTACAACCTGATAGAACCTTCTCACACATTCAACAACCTTAGGCAGGGCCAGCCCTACCATCTTCCTTGTTTGTAATGTACACAGGCATCATTTGCCTATCACAGTCGCAAGCCTAGGCTGGGCATTTTTGCTGGCTTGGCTCACATTATTTTCTTTTTTTTGTTTCCAGGATTTTTTTTTGACAGATAAACCATTTCAAATCCTGCTGGCTCCCTTGCCTTTGTCATTGCCTCTTCTCCAAGTAGCTCCTCACAAGCAAGTCCACAGAGGCACTGACTGGTATATGCAGACATACGGCTTCTCAGCACAAATATTTTTGGCAGGATTGAGGAAGGAGACCAAGAAGACACATGTATCATATGTGTCTCCCTTGAGTGTATTCTGGCACATCCAGCCTCATAGTATGCACCAGTTGCCACTCCTACCCCGCTCTGTCCCAGAGCTTAAAGACCCATGCTCTGGTCCAGTAGCTCTATGGACTCATCCACCCCTCATCCACACTGAACCACCCTGCTTGAGTATCTGAAGGGTGGGAAGGTGGCTGTGTGAGGCTTGAGGCTATACAAGCCTCTAGGCACCCTAGGGAAGGACTGCAAGTTAGCCAAGCTCAGCTTCATATGTCTCCACTGAACTGTCTCTCTGACAACAGCATGGATATGTCCAGTGCCATGGGTGTGAATCTGCCTCTGCTTGGTGACCATAAATCAATGAAAAGTGGGCTCTGCACAGTGATCAATGAAGTGCACTACAAACAACTTCACAAACTCTCCAGAGCAGGGTCCCCTGGGCTCTCATCATGTGAGAGACTGATGGACTATGAAGGACCAATTCCTATGGCCAGGATATGTGGGAAGCCTTACCTATTCTCTACACTGTTCCTGCTTTGTAGTAAGACTGTTAAAGATTTAAGGATGGACTGTATATTGGGTTCAGTCTGGGCTTTCAGTTTCTGGGAGGACTTCACTGAAAATCATTAGAAGGTCTTTGTAGCCTCCTGCAAAGCTTTGTGGGCTGTTTTCCACAAAAGCAACCCTAAATGCTTTATAGCTTAGTAAACAAGTGCTTGCATGATAGGTTATCCCTATCTGATACCAATATGTAGAAGAAAGCTGGATCCCGCTGCCCACAATTTTGCTCAATGTGGAGACTACAAACAAGTGCCATGGGTGACATTATGGGTGACAGCTAGGACTGAAAATTTACCTGTGGCCGGGGATGTCCTGTGACCAGACACTGCAGGACCAGCGTGTCCCCCTCCCGAATTGTGTAAACACGTTCACTGATGTTGTCTTCCTTCACCACGCATGCTTGCCCAGCATGGATGATCTGGGCCTGAGCAGGAGCTGCAGAGAGAAGAGAAGAGGTAAAGGGGGAAATGAGCATCTCATCTCCTTGTGCCCACTGCCCAGGGTGGCTTCTCCCACAGCAGGGTGGAAGAGCCAGTTCTTAAGCCACAGAGAGGAAGAGCCCAGACAGTGCTGGGAACGAGACACAAAGGTCTTAGGACACAGAAAATTAAGCAATTTTCCCCATTTACTAGGTAACTGGTACCAACTTTATTTTAAAACCTTTGGTCTTGTTGGGATGAGCAGCTCTAGGCACTGAAAAGCAGAATATAGAGATTTTTGGGGGACTCTTCCACATGGACTGAGTACTAAGAATATCCTACTGTCATTTCTCCCAGAGAGGAGTATGTATAAGCAGCTATTGCAGGGACTTGGTCAAATCACAGCTGCTCTACGCCTGTCAAAAATAAGCCTGATTACTATGATTTACCTTGCAGGGGTCTGGCATAACTACCAAGCAGAGTCAGAAAGGGCCTTGAAGCTCTGTACAGCGATTAGCACACATCCCTAGAACAGGCATAGCACACGCTACAGGAAAAACAAGTCCTTCCCATATTAAATAGCAGCCTATCTCAGCCTTGAGCCAGAGGGAACACCACCTGCAAGATCAGGGGACCCATAATCTCTAAGGACCTCTACACCTAGGGGTCCAAACTGAGACCAGTTACTCCCAGGAAAATGACGGAAGACCAGCACAGTGGAAAAATACATAGAAAGAAAGTTCCCAGAACAAAGTTAAAAAACACAATGACCCCAAAAAGCTCCTATGTCCCATTGCAGCCCTGATGAGCAGCAGGGAGAGACAATCTCTAGGAGAACAGGATTTTATAAAGAAAAAAGCCTCAGCTCTGAAGTCCTGTGCAAACAGCCTTTGGCTCCCTACTCCAAAGCATTTGTGTGATCACAGAAGCAGCTGAGATGCATTGAAGGTGACTGTGCAGCCCAACAGGACACCTGCGTTTGTTCGAGGGGAAAACTCCAGTCGCACTTCAAGGAACAGAGAAACCCACAAACGTGTTCTGAGTCAGTGTCTCAGTGACAGTTCCCTGGGATACTTCCTTGACTTGCTAGAATGCTTCCAGGCAACTCTGGACTCACATCTCAAGCTCCTATTTGTGAAATATAACACAAATGAACAAACCACTGGAGGAGATGATCAAAGGTTTCAAATCAACAAGCTTTACTAAGACTTCTTAAACATGAACAAATTTTGCACAACCTGTTAAAGCTGAACCAACCACCTACTTTTTCCTCAATGTTAGTTGAGCTTCAAAGACTCCTTTTAAAAAAAATTATTTTCATTCCTTTGATATGACCAAAATGTTCTAAACCAAATCATTTGGGCAAGGAAAGCCCTCAGAGTTTTGCTGGTTTAATCCGCCAGCAGTACAGACCTAGGGCAGGCTGGGCTTGGGCAGTGGAGAAAATCTGCCTTTGAGGGCAGTTTATAAACTATAAACTACCATGCACTGATCAAGCAGCAGTGACATGAGAATGGACACAGGGCTAGTGGACAACAAGTTGCTCTTGCTGCTGGGGCTTCACAGCCTGCCACAGCCACCCAGCATCCAAGCAGCACCACTGCACATACAGCAAGTTACTCTCTTTTTCGACACTATTAAAATCACTATTACTTTTCAAACTGCTGACTAACAGAAGCAACATGTGTATTTGAATAATATGATGGCACAAACATGTACAAATCTCTCAGAGTCTCCTGTCTTTGCCCACTGGAGGCCTCCCAAGATGCCTGCCATCACTCGAGCACCATGAAATACTGAAACCAACTGTCAAGGCTTCGCTGATACAACTGAGCAGATAAGTGAGTGACCTTGCCCTGCCTGGGTGGCAGAAGAGCCTTGTTGAACCCAAGAGAAAGTGAAAACCTGTATTTGTGTTTACACACATCTGTGTGTTTGTATACTCATATATACTGATATGTAAATACATTAAATAAAATAGTGACTTATCAGTAGAAGACTATAATAATACTTGTCAAGCCAACAGTCACAGAAGAGGAATTCAGAAGCCTTTATAACCTTTACTAATACACTTTAATCCAAATGACAGTATCTTGTGGTGTTACAGACCTCAGATCAGTCTTCTGCAGATCTGCTGTCACACCTTTAACCCCATGTAAACTGCAGAGCACCACTTACAGGGCTGATACCCAGGCTGGAATGCTGAAGAATCCCTGTTTTATGATTAAAAGACAGACTACATCCCTTCCTATCCTATACCACATTCCCCCCCATCCCCAAACTGTGCCTCCTGCATTCCAGCATGGTCCTGGCACCCTCCAGCAGCAAAGCTCTTGTAACCTCTCTTTACAGACTTTGGGCTGCATTTGCCAGCTGGTGGCTCTATTCTCCCTTTGCAAACATGACCTTGCTGCAAAAACTAATTTCCAGACACCCCATAGAGAATCAGAATATTTATCTGCAGCTCTAGCTCCCAGTGAAATGTTGCTCTGCTGTACCCCATATGGTATACAAGGTAGGTCAACGTCTACTCTTTTCCCTTTGTCTATCCCACTTCCATTATTTCACCTTTCATGTGTGACCCTTTTCTACCACTTCTCCAAAGACATTTCCACATGGAGAATTTCCACAGCAAAATCATTAGGTACAGCAGTACAGGATTAGCAGGCTTTTGTGCAATTATTCTGGTGCCAAAATACCTTGTGGTAATTTGCTGGTGTCTCTCCGAGTTTGAGAACAATATTATTTAAACTGCACCTTTTTTGGCACTACAAAACAATACACAGCACTAGTCTACGGCAAAACGACAACCCTGAGAATAAGCCCTGGGTCAGAATTTGGTCCTCTTCTCCCAAATTCTCCCTGGATACACTCAGCTTACTACAAACAAGAGTGTGAACACTCAGCTTTGTTCATAGGCGTCTGAACTTGCTTCTGTCATCATCACTAATACCTTTCAGCTAAATTCATTGGAAAGGCACATCACTTTAAGTGAATCCCCTCTGCTTAAGCTGTAACGTCTCTCTGGCAATCACAGCACCAGGTCCTCAGTAGAACACCCACCATTTTTCCATGTCTTAAACCCCACATGAAACCAAATCACTCAAAAGGGAACTCAGAAAGCCTGGGGTTGGCATGGAAAGAAAAGTGCTCAGGTAGATGGCATAGGAGCCTGAGACACTCTGCCTTTTGTTTGGTTACAACTTGACATTAGTAAAGGGGTGGGAGCTAAGCAATGAAACAGACCAGCTCTTAGTGGGGCCTGCATTAAATCACAAGATGAGACTCAGGAAGGTCTCTGTTACAAGCTCAGCCTGCCACAGCACACAAGGGCTGGGAAAGTCACCTCATGCCATATTACAGATGGGCAGAGAGACTGTGAGGATTAATTGCACTTTTAATGTGCTTGAACAGAAAGAATACATTATTGTTTGACATCATCCCAATTCTCCTGGAGGATTTCAGCATGCAAACAGTTTGCACGTTGCCAGCACAACAGGATGGCAGGACCATGCCTGTCAGAGCACCAGTTTCACAGAAAGCCCCTAGGAATGAAAACAAAGGCTGGAGCATGAGGCCAGGTGCTGGAGTTGAAGCAGTAATCTCAGCCATTCTCAGCAGTGCTCCATGAAGAACAACTCTTGCACAGAGACAACCTTCCCTGCTAAGTCCTGCTGGGGCAGAATCCCTCTCCTCAGACCATCAAACCCCAAAGCAGAGATCCAAGGAAGACCTCTGATGGTCTCTACAGGGGAAAAGGGGACAGATATTTCCCACCATATTTTTCCCAGAATTTTGAGGGACAGATGCATCATTACTTTTATTCCACTTCCAGGTAAGAGACCGACTTAGGGATGGCTCCCAATAAAAAGTTCTCCAGAGAAAGTAGGACAGCCAAATATTGAGTGTCAGATGTTTTAGAAGGGAAAAAATTCAGACTCTGAACATGCTGCATTAGGCCCTTCCTCAGAAAATGGCTGGTTTGCAATGCATTTGGCCTCTGCACTGAGATTTTCTACTATGCTTTCACTTGATATATTTACACATTAAAACAAAAGGAAATTGAAATGGATAAAATAACTTTATTCCCAGTGCAGTGTACTGCACAGTGTTATTATCACCATAATCTGGAAAGTTTATGAGATGCTTGGTGCTTAGAGGTTGCTAATATGAAAATACAGAAAATGAGAGAAAAATGGTATTTTGGAGAGGACTGAGTCATCTGTGGTTCACATGTCTAACCGTTTATCTCCTTTAACCTGAGGTCCCATCGCTACGATGGCAATGATAAGAGCTCCTTCACAGAGAGGATGGTGACACTGCCTACTTTGCTGTCAGCACCCACAAGGACAGCCGCTCCCCTCACTTGCAGCACAGCATCAACCACACTGCACTGCTGCCTTGTCAGTCAGCAGGCTAACATTAGCCATCACTGTTTGACTCCATCCCACCACTACCCTTGCCACCAACACATATCCTGCTGATGACCTCAAGGACGAAGAGCATTCATCTCCGGAACTGCTGGGCTAATACTCATAGCTACACACACAGGTGCACTGAACCCACCCACCTTTGCTTTCACCCTCATGGAGGGTGGGGGGAGAGGGAGCTGCACCTGGAGCTTTCCTTCCTCCTTAGGCTTAATCTACCATCCTGCTTTGCATGGCAAGCAATAACCTTCCATGTATCTGGTGAAGTTATAATTCAGCCTCTTCTGCACATACCCTGGTCAAAGAAGCCGAAGTCCTTCCCCATTTCTGCTTACAGGCTCCTTGGACTCACATTGCTTAGTTACACTGGAGCAAGAAGGAGGGGAGCATCAGCTGCTAATCTGCTGCTTAAATCCCTAAAGAGCCTGCCTATCTCCTTCCCTCACCCTTCCCATCCTGAGCAAGTGGTATGTAAGGGATGCATCTTGAAGGAAGTTCCCATAAAAGGGAAAAACACATGGGGTATTTATGAACCACAGTGGGGGTGAATAAGCATTTTATTGAGGAGATGCACATCTGGCATTCC